TGGACTGACTAACAGAATTGGAAAAGGAACTACGAATTTCAGGCTATTACAGAAACAAGCATGGAATAAAAGCAAACTACCAGCTAAGGTGAAGATGTGAGTTTATGGGACCTGTATGCTGTCATCTTTATTTAATGGTTCAGAAATATGGACTACATATGTTAGGCACATCAAAGACTGACAGCCTCCATGAGATACCTGGACAAAATCAGGAAAATAACGTGAGAAGACAAAATACCAAACACAGAAGTGCTAGGGCACACAGTACTGACACACATAGAAACTACAGTAGAACATCAGAGTTATAGACACCTCAGGAATGGAGATTATCCATAACTCCGAAATGTCCATAACTCCAAACAAGACATTACCAACTTCAGCCACAGGGAGTCAGGGCTTCTGACCCATGGGAGCAACAGTCCTCAAGGCTTTAGATCTGGGGGAAACACAGGGGTTCGGTACTCCCTCTGGCTCTGCTCCTGGTTTTAGCTGAAGGGCTTGCACTGGAACTGAAACCGGTGCCCAAGTTGTAGCCGTGAAGCCTGGTACTCCCCACAGGTTAGAAGCCAGGAACAGAGCTGTGGGGCTGAAGCCCCAAATCCCAGCATCCCCTATAGGGCTGAAACTGTCAGTAGTTATCCTACCAAATGACCACAGTGAGGCAAGCAAGCACAGGGGACAGTTATACTCCCAAATGAGAAGAAGGGGGCAGCAAAGTGCCCCTGCTCTGGGAAGCAGCTACCAACTGGCCAGCATGACACCACTGCCCTGGAAGAGCATGCAGCAGAATGGCGCAACCATTGCCGACCTAAGCCAGGGCTAGAAGCAGCCAGTGGCGACCCCCACCCCCTGCCTTGAGACTCCCCACCCTTTCCTGAGTCCCCCCACACCTCCCAATTCCCTGCCCTGCCTCCTGAACCACCATCCCCTGCCCTGACTCCTACAACCCCTTCCCTGAATCCCAAACCTAACTTCTGTACCTCCCCACACCTCCGGACCCCTGCCCTGAAGGACCTGGGTAAAGCATCTTTTTGTTTTATAATTAAACATGGCAAGTCTTATAATCCAACTCTAATTTTATAGTACAGTGCTTTAAAAAACTCTAAAATAATAATGATCTGTAAGATCAGTGACTCTTTAGTGATACAATTTTCCAACATCATTTTTCCATAAATCATTTATTTTAGATCTAATAAGGAAACACATTTTTAAAAATGGCTAAATCCACATCCATTACATAATTCCACAATAAAATGCTGATCCAGCTGTATGACATTATGTAAATTATAAAGTTTACTGTTGTTTTCAATGTTAGGACCTGATCATGCAAACTTTTAGGTTTTTCCTCTAAAAAGACTTATTTACAGTGTGTAAAATTAAGCATGGGCATAAATCTTAAGCAGAACTGGAACTTTCTTCATGTGAATAGTCCCTTTTGATTTTAAAGGACTACCCCTGATAAGCAAGGGTCTGCAGGTTCCAGCCTATCACTATCCAAATTCATCACATTCAACTTTTTGGTATAAGCAGTCATCTGACAAAAACATTTCTATTATTTACATTCTTAGTGATCTGAGGAACTCTGGAAAAACAGAAACCAACTCAATCCTGGAACCATGTTAACAAGAGGTACAATTGTTATAGCATCACCTCAGAAGTAGTAGAGTTTTTTTTGAAATTCTTCATATACTGACAACAGTGAAATCTTAATTAATTTATAATTTTAATAAACTGAAAACCATATATTGCTCCATATAAATTAAACAAAAAATTTACCTGAAAAAACAGCTGGTGTTCCTGTTAGGTTGGAATTGAATACCAGTAACGATTTGTCAGCTAAGCCACAAGCTAACAGCTCTCCATCCCCTGTAAAAAGATTTGCTACAGGTTTATGGGTTGTGAGGAGTGTGTATCTAATATCTCATGGAGGGATGAGTTAATCGTTAAGGGTATGTCTACACTACCCCGCTAGTTCGAACTAGCGGGGTAGTGTAGACATACCCTTAGTGCAAATGAAGCCCGGGATTTGAATTTCCCGGGCTTCATTTGCATAAGCGGGGCTCCGCCATTTTTAAATCCCCGCTCGTTCGAACACTGTGCCGCGCGGCTACACGTGGCACGAACTAGGTAGTTCGAATTAGGCTTCCTAGTTCGAACTACCGTTACTCCTCGTGGAATGAGGAGTAACGGTAGTTCGAACTAGGAAGCCTAGTTTGAACTACCTAGTTTGTGCCACGTGTAGCCGCGCGGCACAGGGTTCGAACGAGCGGTGATTTAAAAATGGCGGAGCCCCGCTTATGCAAATGAAGCCCGGGAAATTCAAATCCCAGGCTTCATTTGCAAGTGCGGTATGCCTACATTACTCTCCTAGTTCGAACTAGGAGGGTAGTGTATACATACCCTAATATACTACAAAGAGGAAAACATATTTTACAGCACATTAAAATATATAATCAGTTCTCACCTTACGTGTTTACCATTTTCCCTTTCTAAGGAAATCAGTTAAAATGCGAGGATAAAAATTACTCAGCACAAAGAAGAATGTCACATTTTTAAATAAAAAATTCTAAAAAAATTAGAAAAAATATTTAGCAGTCACAGCTATCTACCTCCTGGGGTATAAAATGTACTATGTATCTCTGTATAAGTGTCATATCTCCTTTTCAAGGCTACCAAAACCAAAAATAAATAGACTTATGAGAGCACCAAGATTCTTGTCAATATACTGATAACTACTAAAGAAAATAGACATAAGCCCTCCTCGACATAGCTTTACAGCCTAATCCTGCAAATTTTACTAAGGAGGTCTGTGAGACTTCTCATACAAGGTAAGTTATTCATGTGTACAAATGTTGGCAGGATAAAGCCTGTTAAATGTTTGATGTAGTGGGATGGGAAAATTGTTTAAGCCAAATAATATTTCTGAAAGAGCAAAGAGTGTTTGGGGCTTCATATGTAGAATTCCACTGTAAACTAGTATTTAAAAGTTTGCAATCTAGAAGGCAAAATAAATCAAACAAAATAAAGGAAAGAGACATACCTAGCTTGGTGTCAACCCAACCTCTATGAAATCTAATCTTCCCAAAGGCATTCTAACAGGCACCCTATATATTGCATAGGGCACATGTGAGAGACAAGATGAGCTTAACCCTTTGTTGACCTAGAACTTGTTATTGCCATTATATCCATCTCAAAGATAGAGAATACAATACCCTAGTGTTGACAGAAGCATCTGTTTTCTTTCAAATGTGGCTCTGTGAATGAGAATGGGTAAGAGATCCTAGATTATGGTTTATTGCTGTTAAATCTGTAACAACTGCCTTAAGAATTTTGGATTTAGTGTAGGGCAGATTTGGAATACTCCTAGCAACACATGGTTTTATAGTTGCAGTTTCATTTAACGTTTATTTCCATGATGTATTTATTAAATGTTTGTCTTGTATTACAACTGCTTAAAACCATTCTAATATTTACAGTAATTAATATAATAATGTAATTCTGGCACATCTATTTGTTGATCAACTGAGAAGTATTTCCTTATTTTGGAGTCTGTAACCCTCATTCTACAAGGAATAATACCTATTCTGAAATAGCAATTTTGGAATAGGGCATGTATAGACAGCCCAATACATCTCCAGCCTTTCCCACAGGTGTCCTGCTGGCCCCACTGTCCACACTCAGCAAAACTCTATAGTGGCCCTTCCCCTGAAGGCCTTAAAGGCACAGCCTTAGGGGAAAGGGCTTATGGCACACGGCAGGCCCAGACAGCCCTGAGCCACAAAACAGCAGCCTGCACAGCTGTCCCTGCTGACATGAGCCACCCCCTGTGCTCTGTCTGAGCCCTCCACAGATGCAGACGAGGAGGCAGCCAGCTCCCATGACCCTGCCAGGGGATGAAAGTGGTGCATGCCTTCCTGGCCGGGTGCAGAGATCCTGCCCCTCATTGAGGTCTGGGCAAAGAGGCAAACCACCAGGATCTCCATACCAGATGCAGGCAGCTGTCCCTGCTGACATGAGCCACCCCCTGTGCTCTGTCTGAGCCCTCCACAGATGCAGACGAGGAGGCAGCCAGCTCCCATGACCCTGCCAGGGGATGAAAGTGGTGCATGCCTTCCTGGCCGGGTGCAGAGATCCTGCCCCTCATTGAGGTCTGGGCAAAGAGGCAAACCACCAGGATCTCCATACCAGATGCAGGAATGCGCACCAGGAGAAGGTTAAAGAGCTCAGGTAGGCCTATGCCAAGGCCAGGGAGCACAGCTTCCACTCCAGGCTCCACCACATCCTAGAGGGCGGGCCAGTCCCTTTCCCCCACCCCCAGCAGTGGACTCGGGCTGGAGATGCCTGTTGTCGCCCTCTGAAGGGGCAGAGATAGTGAGGAGGAGGAGAAGGAGGAGCCAAACAGGGCCAGCACCAGCTTCATGCCTGCTAGTTAGGATAGAAGCCCCCTCCAAGGATGTCTCCTCAGCATCATCCAAAGCCCCTTAGCTGAGTGCCGTTAGTTTCCATAGACACACACAGGTGAAGGGCGGTGAAGGGTAGCTGCACACTCCTCACTCGGCCTTCTCAGACTGGGGATCATGCTGCAGCCTGTGCACGTGGGTGCACATGGAGCGCCAGCCCCAATAGGCTGCAACAAAGGACCCTTGTGCTCTTGCTCACAGGGTGTCTAGAGAGGCCTGCCTTACTCCCAACCCCAGGCTGGAGCATCCCCCCACCACAAGCCACCACTAGAAGGAGGGTAGGCACATGAAGAAACATACACACACACACACACACACTCAACAGTGCCGCACACAGCACATGGGCATGCCTGCATTCTTGGGGCAACATCCACTTCCAGGGACAGTGCAACAAGGCGCAGGAGCATCTCCCACTCACAGACAAATTCCCCCAACAGCCTGTCTTATCTCTCCTCCAGGAGCCACAGATACAATTGCTCTCGCTGTGGGATGCTGCCACTGCTGGACCAAACATGTGCGTAGCACAGAGGGAAGCACCCATGTCCCCTCCTGCCCACAGCATCTGGTCTGGCCAGCACCTTCCCAAGTCTGATTGTCCCTGGGATGTGGGGGTAGTTGGGCTCCCCCTCTGGAAATTTGTGCCCCTGTAGAAAAGGGCCCACTGTCTAGGCCACAGATAGCCTTGCTCCAAGCACAGTGCCTTTGACCCAAGGCCTTTCGGTCTCAGCTCAGACATGAGGGCAAGGCTTCATGTACAGTGTCTTCAGGGATGACTGATCTTCTCATTGTTCTACACTGCTGCGAGAGGGGAGCAGTCAATACCTCCCGTGCCAGTCTGCTGACCCTGCATGACCTGTTGGCACCAGAGACCACAGGAGGACCTCCAGAGGGAACATACTGTTGACCTGAAAGCCCTGCAGTACCCCATGGATTGGCAGGACTAGAGGAGGACCGCCAGCTGTGCCGAGAAACCTGGCAGGAACTGCTGGAGTAGGACTGGACCATCTGTGCAGCTCTCCAAGCAGCCATCACCAGCCCACTCCTGCTGCCACTCCTGAGCCAGCCCCTGTCCCTTCTGCTTCTCCCTCTACTCCCAACCTGTGGCTGCTGAGGGCCCTGCACACGAGGCGGTGGGACCACCCGAGGCAGGCACCACATCCAGGCTTAGCCCTGAGCCTCTCCTTGCCCCTCCTTTCTCTTCCAACTCCCTCCTCTTCCCTCTAAGGTTCTTTCCCCAGCGCCTCCCCAGTTACATTTACCCCGAAATAAAACCAAATAATTTATTTTTCAAAAACAAAAAAAGTGTACTTTATTGTCTCTGCAGGGGAAGAAGGGAGGGGTGTGGAAGGAAAATCAAAGTAAGACAATGCACAGGCCCCTTGTGGGGAAGCCTAGGGGACAGTGTCACTGGCATCCTTGAGTGAAACTCTCCTTCAGGCCATCCCGGATGCACACAGCTCCCTGATGTGCCTGCCAGATAGCAGCCATGTGCGGCTGCTCAAAGACCCTGTGTGATGGGGTGGACACAGAGCCCGACCTTCCCGCTGGAAGCCTTTCAGCACCCTGGCCAGCAGCAGGGACAGTGGAGAGGTTCTCCAAGCAGGGGTCCTCTGCAGCCAGTCAGGGTATGGAAGGCTGATATATAAGGAGCTGCTAAGTGAAGGCCTGGCAGTTCCATACTGGAGCTCAACCCGGCCAGACCTCTGGGCTGACTGGGAGCACCAGCACCTGGGCCAGCTCTGAGTGGGAGCTAGGCCTTTTCAGCTAAGCAAGGCTAGATCCTTTAACAGAAGGCTAGCCTACGGCGACATGGAAGACCCCCTGGGCAAGCGGGAATTCTGCACCTTGTCCACTAATTGAACTGTGCCTCACCTTCAAGCGGGCAGGGTAATTATTATGAGCCCCTTGTAGCCATTAAAGGGGTGCTCACCGATGGGACTGAACTTGTTATACCCTGCCAATCCAGTCAGCCTCTGCCTCCCACCCTGGGAGAAAGGTCTCTCCCTTGCTTTCACAAATATTGTGAAGGACACAACATGCTGCCACCACTTGGGGGATGTTCCACTCCCCGACATACAAGCAGCTGAGGAGGCAGTGGAACTTCCCCTTCAAACATCCAGAAGTGCCCTCCATCACAATGCAGGCCCTGCTGCACCTGTCATTGAAGCGTCTCTTGCTTTGGTCCAGGTGTCCAGTAAAGGGCTTCATTAGCCATGGGAGCAGCAGGTATGCTGCATCCCCCACAATACAGATTGGCATGTCCACATCCCCTAATCTGATGGTATGGTCGGGGAAAAAGGTGCCAGCATGCAGTTTCTGGAAGACACTGGAGTTTTAGAAGGCACGTGCATCGTGTGCCTTCCACAACCACCAGATGTAGATGTCTGTGAACTGCCTGCGGTGATTGATGAATGCCTGCAGGACCATTGAAAAGTACCCCTTGCGGTTGATGTATTCAGATGCCTGGTGATTGGGGACCAGGATGGGTATATGGTACCGTCAATAGCCCCCCAACAGTTGAGGAAACCTGTGGTGGCAAAGTCGGCGATGATGGGGTCCACATCACCCAAGTTGATGACCCTGTGCAGCAGGACTTAGTTGACAGCTTGCATCACCTGTAGAAGGAGACAAACAGAGAATCACAAGCACATCACCCAAGTTGATGACCCTGTGCAGCAGGACTTAGTTGACAGCTTGCATCACCTGTAGAAGGAGACAAACAGAGAATCACAAGGTTGCCAGGGCCCTTGGGAGGTCCACGAACCCATTCACCCCTCCCCTCCACATACCAGGAGCAACCCTCTATTTACCTCAGCCCCATCAGGGCTTTGTGAAGGTGCGATTGAAAAACCTCCCAGGAGGGGGCTTCTACCACCATTTCCCCCCTTCCCTACAGAACCCCAATCCAGAAGTTCACCACCCTCCTGGACAATAGCACGAGAGCACCATACCTGTTTGACCATGGCCCTGACGGTCAATCTCCCCATGCCGAACTGGTTGCTGATGGACAGGTAGCTGTCTGAATGGTGAGCTTCTAGTTGGTAATGGCAACCCGTTTTTGGAGGGGAATGGCAGGTCTCATGTGGTTGTCCCATTGCCTGAGGGATGGGGCGAGCCACTCAGACAGCTCCATGAAGGTGTCCTTCCACATGTGGAAATTCTGGAGCCACTGCTGGTCATCCCACTGCTTCATAATGATCCGGTCCCACCAGTCAGAACTGGTGTCTGGACAGCAGAAGCGGCAGTGCATGGTGTGCAGAAGAAGGTGGGGGAGTATCGTACTGCATAAGTAGTGCCCGCAGAGGGATGAGGAAGTTCCCCACAATGAGCTGGGGGTTGTGTAACTGCAAGGTTTGGAAAGCATCCCACAGAAGGAGGTGCTGCACAACCTGTAAAAGCTGTTCACTGCTCAAAGGCAGGTCCAGCTCCATTGCAGGAGTGCAGAAGTGTCCACCAAGGCAACCACAGCATGCAGTGAAAAGGCTTTGCTGTCCCTCAAGGAGGTAGGCAAAGGAGAAGAACCTGAGACACAGCTGTTCGGGGGGGTCCCTTTAAGTTTGAGCCTCAGACAGCCTTAGGCAGCAACTGCAGGAAGAGAGTGCTATCCTGATGCCCTACCTAAAGTGCTTCTGGGTGGCCTTAAATTCGATTCAGTGTCCAATGAATATGGAATACGGCTCTATCTTGAAATAGCTCAGCACTATTTTAATTGGCATTTGCTGTGTAGACACTCTATTTCAAAATAAAGTATTTCAGAGTATTTCTTCCAGAATAGCTTATTCCAAAACAAGCGTTCAGTGTAGCCATACCCTAAGGTTCTACAGGACCACTGTTGTTGATTTTTAAGGTTTTTTTTGGGGGGGGGGGTGGAGGAGAAAATAGATTATATAAGACTTGTCCTTCTGATTGGAGTCCTCTCTCATGCTTAGAGTAGCAGCTCCCTCCCACAGCTGAGATTACCATAGGACTGGTTTCTCAGTCTGATGCTGTCTGATGCTAGTTGCCTCTTTGGGGACTGTGATGAATTTTTCCCTCACTGCAAAACTGGCCAGTACAGAATGTGGTGGTGTTCTTCTTTTCAGCAACTCAGAGACCCAATATGGGAGGGCAAGAGATTAGGTACATGTCATCACAATTCAGCAGGTGTAAGAGACAAACCTCAATATTGTTGCAAAATGGTTAATTTTAGGCTGTTATAATCTTGACTTCACCTTTACTGAATTTTAGGATATATAATTATTTTCATATATATTATATTTGGAAAATGATAGTTCATATGCTTATGTTTTTGCTTGTTTATTTGAAACTAAAACTAAAAAAGGAAATTGCTAGCAAATATATGCATTATGTTAACAAGTAACAAGCATTTATGGCTGGAAGATGTATTACAGAAGATATTAGTTACTTCTAACTCATATTTCTCTTCAAGATGAAAATTCAAATATTTAAGATAATATTAACTTGTTTTGGGATGTTTTACGTGAAAATTTTTGTATATGAATGCAAGCCTTCATATAACAACTGCCTGATAATATAGTTACATGAATAGTAAAATGTTGTATATGCAATTGTAACAATGCCATCTATTTATAACTGATTAATATACAAAGTCATTTGAGAATCAAAATATTTAGGCTGAGACGGATCAGATTTGTATTGGTAAATATCAATAAATGGCCATTTTACCACACATGCTGGTAGGGGTATGTGTGACAGAATGGCTTGGCCCCTGGGCAGGTTGGGGGCACAGGCTCTGTGGGTCTCCGATAGAAGGTACGGGGCTGGAGGCTAGCCTCCCTTTGCCAGCCCTTTAGCATCACCCACAGCCTGTGGCTCCAGCAGTGATTTAAAAAGCTAGAACCCTGGGTCCATTTGAATCATCAGGTCCCAGGACAGTTTCCCCCACTGTTGGTAAGCCTGTGTGCATGCACAAACTGACAAAGAATATTTTCACAAATGATCATCAAAATTAACAGATAGGCAAAGTAAGAAAAATGCTGTTTGAGAACTTATTAGCTGCTAAATGACTGGATTTTTACTTTTGAATTAGGCTTGTTACAAAGGTGTGGAAGGCTGATGACAACCTTCTGCCAGGTGCAGGCAATTAAGGAAGAAAAAATGACCCAAACACTATAAAAATATTGCTAAAGGTTCCAGATGAGTAAAGGTGCTATCTAATAAACCACATCTCTTATTTTAAATTCCTGCATATCCAGGACAGTAGCATGGATACATGGATTCGTACATACCTGAATACTGAATACAGCGAATAGAAGTTGGTTTATTAGTTACAGATATCTGTGTCTCAGATTTAGTTGGAGGAGAATTTTCCAATGGATATTCTTTATTTTTTCTTTAAAAAAATAGAAAGTTAAGGAAAATAGTTAAATGTAATAAGAACAGTACAGTTTCACTTTCCATGCTAAATATTTATATTACAGTTAGAGTAAATTAAAGTATAAATCATCCATATCTCTTCCTGCTTTTTTAGATTCCCATACAAAACCTATAGTAAGAAAAAGCTGAGTAGGAGTAGATATCAATCACTTTGGGGTGAAAAAGCATAACTGGGATGTTTTAATTATCATAATAACCAAGCATAGAAACCCAGGAAATTATGTGTCAATATTAACTTTAAAAAATCTAAACATATGAGGTTATGTAAATATACAAAATATGCAGACAATCTAAATTCCACCCTGTAGTCACAAGCAATAACCAAAAAATTATGATTGATGGATCTTAGTGCTTCTGGGTCCAAATTAAAACTATATTTCAAGATTTTTTTTCATATTTCCATTTATGGTGTCATTACAGGGCAGAGTTATGGTTCTTTGTGTTTTTCATATATTAACATGTTTGGATTTCTTTTAAATTTAACTCTCAATTCCTGAGCTTTTAATGCTAGATTTTGGAGTAATTATAGTATTTCTGATATTCTTTCCATTAAGATAGTAATATTTATTCTCAGCTTTAACTTCAGCATAGTGATTTTATCTGGGAATGTTCTTCATTTCTTAAATATTTATTTTTATACATTAGCATTAAACAAAAATCCTAAAAAGAATGCTACCAAGCAATACTTCTAATGTTTTAAGGATACATAATATCAGATCTAAATACGATCATTTTATTAATTTTTACTTTTGAGGACAGATTCACTAGATGCTTTATACTCCTCTAGAGCAGCCAAAGTGTACTCAGAAATTAAGCCAGGTTTACAGCTGCTTGCCACAGCTCCAGTAATATTACTGCACTAGTACATAGCAGAGTCAAAGCCACTGTGTCATGTGGTTTTGAACCTTTCAAGCACTAATCTCCAAGGTGCATAGGGCCAGGGAATCTTTAAAAAACAGCAACAATTAACCTATCAGGGAGAGCTGTTGACATGCCATGACCTGACTCTCCGTCATACCACTCACCACAACCAATAACAGTACAGCATGGAAACTAGCTGCAAAGGAAGGGTGATAATAGACTTACCTTTGTCGTCACAATGTCTGCACAGCAAGCAGTTATTTCAACATAATGTTGAAATAATGTCAAGCTGTTGGACTTCTTACTCAGACTCTTGTAACCCTCATTGTATGAGGAATAGGGGGAGTTGGAGGAAGAGTGCTCTAAACTTGAACTTCCTGCTGTGTAGACAGTGCCAAAATCCGAAATAAGCTTTTTTAACTTAAGCTACGCAATTGATGTAGCTCAAGTTGTGTAGCTTATTTCGGCTTTAGCCATGGTGTGTAGACATGCCCAGAGAGATTCCATGCAAACACCTGCATGCATCTGACTGAAGGATCAGACTGACATAAGAGGGAAGGTTACAAGCTTGGTATCTGTTTACATCAATGTCAATAATTTACTAGTCAGTCATCCATGCAAAAGTTATCAGATATTAGGACTTTCATATGTATACTTTTACATCATTCTACTTGCCAATTAAAAAAACACCACCTAATTCTTTCAAGATGAACCAGTATTTTCCAGTTTACAGACAGTATGCCAGATGTGCTGGTTACAAGTTATAACAGCAACCTTTGTCAGTCAGATAGCCTAATAATGAATTAATTCCAGGTTAAAATCTTTTTTCACACACCCATACAAAAATAAATTCAATTTGTTGTAATATTTCTTGCAGATAAAAAATATATAGGATAGTGACTTAAAATCTGTTTTTTTTTCTCTGAAAAAGGAAAATGTAAAAATAGCAACATATGCACTCCTGGTATGTTATATCTGCTTACTTCTGTCACAAAAACTGTTTTGTTTTACTTGTTAGAATCACAGTGTCAACACAGATTGGGAATTAGATTTTATGTACTAGATTGTGCAAGCATTTCTTAAAATCAATACTGTGGTGCTATTCATCTGAATGCTTTCCAGTGAGAGTAAAGAGTGTACAGTGTAGCACTATACTATTACAACATTTCAGAAATGCTCATAAAAAAGAAAATCTAAGAGCAACCACTACAGTCACACTTCATTTCTGCCTGTGCATCATACGTAACCCAGATCCCAAGGTAAATTTATAAGACTGGCAATCAGGAACAAATGGGTGTTTTAATTCACTTGCACGAGTCAGCATAAAACTGCCAACTCCTCAAGATCACACTGAGATCTGGCTTGTGTATCATACCCAGTGATGATTCTACAGGTCAAAGTCTACCTAACTAAAACCTGTGCAGCTTCATTATTTCCATTGAGGCTGCATATATTTAAAGAAAGGAAAAGTTTTAATTTCAATAGAATGACACACAGAGCATAAAACTGGTGTAACATAATGATGAATCAGGCCAAATATATTTTCACTTATAAAATGAACCACATATCTGAAATCAACAAGTTACAGTAAGTACATAACCTCATGAAGGCATATTTAGTCACTTTTCGGACTGGAACTATGCATTAAAAACACTTTATGGGAATATAGTTCTAAACACTTTTGGTACCAATGTTGATTTTTATTTGTTAAACTAATCATTTAAAAATAGGGAGAACATAACTATATATTAACTTTTCTACATAAAGCATAGTTAAGATTAATTAACTTAACCTAAAATGTCTTTATAGCATTTCTTATGTACAGCTGGAAAAACTGCTAAAACTTCATCTCATAGCAAAACTAAAAAGCATTTGACAGGCGACCCCTGCACTTACGACTTAATTGGTTCCTGGAGAACTGTTGTAAGTCGAGCCATTGTAAGTCGAACCCTTATTTCCCATAGGCACAATGATATAAATGGGGGTTCCATTCCTGGCCCACTTTGCCTCCTGGGACCTGTGGGCCCAGAGCCAGTCAGGGGCTATGCCAGGTGGAAGCAGCTCCACGTGTCCAGAGCCAGTGGCGCGGCGCGAACTGCTCCCAGAGCCGGCTGGGAGCTGTGCCGGGTGGAGGCGGCTCTGCATGTCCCAGAGCCAGCGGTGCAGCACGAACTGCACCCAAAGCCGGCCAGGGCTGCAGGCGAGTGTCTGACCCTGTGGCTCACTGTGCAGGTGAGTTAGGGGAGTTTGAGAGCGGGGCCAGAGCAGGGCAGTTGTAAATGCGGGGGGTCGTAAGTCGGGCGGTCATAAATCGGGAGTCACCTGTACTTCAAATCATATCCCCACTTTAAAACTGTCCAGTAGAGGAGGTACGTATCTACAAAATATCTTTTCAAGTAAAACATCTATTTATCATTTCAATTTTCAATGCATCTACTGAATTACCTACCGTTTGCAACTACTCTTGCACTGTGATAGCTTGCTATTTTTCTTCAAGATAGTCTTTGGAGAAAACATGGTCATTCTGCAGAGAAGAAAACAGGCGTTACTATATCTATATACTAGAAGACTTACCCACCTTTGTTCGAGTCCTTAATTCAATTAATTTTTGATTTTTGGAAAATAAAATGGTGGGGTTAGGGATGAGGGATTCAGTATGTGAGTTGCCCTGGGGAGAGAGGACTACCCCAAACTTCTCTCTAGGGCAACAGCTTGGGGCCAGGTGAAAAGCACCTCTCCTTGGCTGCTGAGACTCCAGCTAGATACATCAGGAATAGGGGTTAGTACATCAAGGAGGGATGCATGTCCAGGTTCATCTGCATGCTGCGCTTCCCAGACAGAGTGAGGAGTGCATCAAACTATACATTTTCTCCTAGGGGAACAGCCAACAATATTCTCATACAAATCAGTGGGGAGAGCTACAGCCTCCCCCCCCCCCCCCCCACACACACATACGCCCTCCTGAAAGAATTCCTGAGGGGTGGGAGGCTCAGGGCTGGAGCAGTGCTGGGGGTCACTCCTTTCATCTGCCTGTTGATTCTGTCTCTTTTCTGTATGATTTCATAAGAAACAATCTCATTTCAGGCACATTCCATTTTCCTAGTACAACCTAAGCCTTACCCTGGTTTAAGTTATGATAAGAGGAAGCTGCATATGGAATTTGATAGTCCTAGCTCTTACTATTTAGGAGGAGTTCTTGAAAAAACAGACAAATGCAGAGACAGACTCACATAAGAAAAACTCTCTCAAATATGTAGTAACGGCACTTCTAAAACATTGTTCAGGAATAAGCATTTTATTTAAAACAACAGTGATTCTATTTTCCTCTTCATACACACAGTTGAGAAATATGTACACACCGTGCCTTTTTTTATGACAGTATGCCCCGAGATGGTGTACTAGCACCTATTTTCCCTGCAGAACTTAAATGAATTGAATTTCTCTTGGGCATACCGGCACCTCTTTTCCTAGGGCAGCTGGGCTCCCGACAGAAGCCTGCTCGGGACACGCGGCTCTTAAAGGGGCTGCAATGGCATTTTGGCCCCTGGCATGGGTTTGTTTTTTGGGGGGCTTTGCGGCTCAACAATTTTCTTCCCCGTGGTTTTGGTGCAGCTTCTTTTTTTTTTTTTTTGGCTCAACAACTTTCCTTCCAGAGTACTGGCACCCTTTTTTTTTTTTTTTAATATAAAAAAAATGTACACACATAAACAGAAGAGTAGATCCCTGTAATCATATTGCTTTCTAATTCACTCCCAATTATTGCTTATGATAACACATTATGATAACACATTTGCTGTGAGCTACATTTAAAGAACAAATCATAATATAAAGTCCAGAGACATCTACTTCTGAACAGCAGCTTTTTTTATATCAGCAGCTAGTAGGATGTCATTATACCAAGTGGACAGAGATCATACTACAAATTTTGAGGTGACATGAAGAACTTGCCAACAGGAGATAGCAATTATATGTATGATTGTTCCCAGCCCCACTCAATCATCTTACATCCATAGCCTCCCAATCAAACAATTTTACCCTTTTCTCCAAGTCTTCTTCAAGGACCCAAGATGGCAACCCATAAAAATGTAGAATAACTCCTTTATTTTACCACAGCCATTCATATTTATAAATATCTACACAAAAAAGAGAGACTGCTGTTCAGAGCAATGAGATACGAGAGTGGCCCCTACCATGCCCCCAGCCTCCTGTCCTGAGCCCCCCACATCCCCAAGGCCCTTCCCTGACTCCTGCACCCCCCAGACCACCAGCTGTCTGCCCTGGAGGATCCGGGAAACACTGGATAAGTCTTCGAGTATACACATATTTGCACACACAAACACACACACATGAAACTAGTTCTGGGATCTAAGAATCTTGTGTGTTTATGTACAACTTGCACCCAAAGTGGATATAATGTTTTGTCGTACAGAAAAACTAGGGAAAAAGGCAGTTTCCATGAGTAGGTGCCAATGAGTATATGTAACCCACACATCTATGGGGTGTGATTCACTGTCCCATGTAGTGGCACTTAGACCACCTACAGCAAGAAATAAGAATTAGTGAGCTCTACAGCCTAAGCTGTGACCCAGTTGGCTTTATAGCTCAAGCTGTAGTGTAGAGACTCCTACACTAAGCTCCGGAGGTCCCAGATTTGGTTCTGCCCTCAGGCAGTTACATATATATTCCAGCTGATGGTTAAAAGTGGATGAGAAGGCAAACTTGTGCCCTGAAATATAAACTTGATAATCTTGAGGGTTAAAGGATTTGGCATGTAATGAAAGCGAGGGAGATAAAAAAACCCTGAGGGCATCTCTAATCATATATTCTTTTTGTACTGATAGCAATGGTTGCCATAGGTATAAACTGATGCTACTACATAAGGCTATTGATGCTAGGCCTGGTAGCTACCTCTACTTCTTCAGTTTCCTCCATAGTGAAGCAGTAGCACAAGAGGAGCCATTATTGGCAGGTTTAGCACTGCCTACTACCGAAGATAGCAGCTGTACTGCAGAAGAGCTTGCACTGAGGTGTCAGACTACTACAGTGGGCAGCCTTAACAGGCTTCCTTCACTTTCAGGCACCTCAGTGAGCATGTAGAAAGGATATACAATCCCTGAGTAGGACTGAAGAGCAACAACTTCCTACTGCTCCTGCCTTATTCCCCCCCCCCCCTTACCCCTTTTAAGCTGTATCTAATTGTGCAGAGGAGTGGAAAAGATGTTGGTTCCCTTTGCAGAAGCTCCAAATACAACAGTTTTTTAGCCTCACTCCAGCTGCAAAGATCTGTGGCCCATTCAACCAGAAAAAGACGACCCTGGGCTCTCATTTCCAAGTTCCAGGGAGGGGAGAGAAATGCTGCTTGGCCTCCCTTCACTAGGTATTAGGAAATATCCTGGAATTTCTCTCCTTGTCTACATACTCACTGTGAAGATTTACTCCTCGCTCAAAGGACTCACTGTGGTCCTTTGAAGCCTGGGGAAGAGTAGGTGAGCAGACGAAGTTAAAATCTTTAAGTTGGACTTGGGAGTGCCCAAAGTGATTTAGCAGTCAACAGCACTGCAGAAAGGTGGGGACTGCAGGACAGATGGGAAATAAGAGAACAGCAAAGAGATTTAGCAGAAGGAGAGAGGGATGATGTGAGCAAGAATATATACAAAAAAAGGAAAGAGGGAATTATTACACACTCTTTATTAAATAGACCTAACAGAGAAAAACAAACTATTAATATATGTTAAACGAGACTGAACATGATAAGAGTGGAAGAGAAGTACAGTGAACAAAATGTTGCTCTCAGTTGCATGTGTCTATCTCTATTGGCTAAATGAGGTATTATTAAATACCAGTACATTGCTTGAACTGTAGGCATTTTAATTTCTAACACATTAACAGCCAATATATCTGTATTTTGTACTGTTATACTATTTTTGACGCACAATTTGGTCCATAGTTGCCACAATGTATTTTAGACAGTAAAAAGAAACAATGTACAGTATTATTACACCCACTTAAAATATCTTTAATAGCATTTCTACTCACTGTGGTGCTGCTGTATAACCAGATGACTTAATTTTACTGTGGAAAACCAATGATTGGTCTTTCAGTGTGCCCTTTATACCTGCATTAAAATAGTTTTAATTTTTAGTGGAGGATTTTCTTAATGTGACTTTTCCATAATTCAAATCATATAGATGTTATTCCTTTAAAATGAGGAATTGTTATGCATTCTAAATATGTAAAACTGGATAATTATGGAAGATATGGCAAATTAATTGTCTAGAATACCCACAGGAGGACAGTTGAGAAAACACAATTTATATTTCTGTCTTACATACTGCTATCTATGTGACAAATCAATAAAGCAAGAAATGCTAAACATCAAATTAAAATTTAATTATTAAATATTTGATATTCATCTTCTATAGTATTCGCTTGAAAGTGATTATAGGAATCTCTGAGACCAGCTTCTATAAAAGCCTTGAACAGCAGAAATATTTAGAGTTTTGTAGCCAGTCACTAGAATCAACAGCCATTTTCATATAACAGTTTCAACAGAACAAATCTCAAGTCCACTTTATTATTATCTGCAAATTTCATGCACTTATTTGGCAACTGATTAACATATAAATTGTTTAAAGATCCTTTGAAATCATCCTTAAATAATATGAACAGATACATCCAATAACTGATGGTGAGTATATAAAGGACCAGAACACCACACCCCATAGCTCCCATTGGCCAGGAACAGTGATCCATGGCCAGTGGGAGTTGCAATTGCCCATACCTGCAGAGGCACAGGTAAACAAAGCATCTCACAGACAGCTAGCAGCTTGCCCTTAAAAGCTGCAACCCAGAATTTGAAAATCTCTGGGCTAGGGTACTCTGCAGTAAAACGTGCAGTTTGGGCCCAAAACCAGTCTCTTTTGCAAAAAGACAGTAGAGCAGGTGAGGTGAGTTGTGCCTCTGTTTTCAGAACTAGCCTACTTTCTCTCTCTATATACTGTATCTTGCTAGTTACCATTCTAAGAAATAAAAAAGTGTTTTGTTGCAATTTGCCAGCAACAGTATTTCATGATTTTTCTTCTCTAACTCCTTTGTGTGCATGCCATGACACAATTAAAGACTCTACATTCTACACAGAAAGTTCTCAAAAGATTAGTTTTTTTAAAAATACCACTTGTATTATAGGTACATTTTCAGGCAGGAATGTAGCACTAAATAAAGCATAGAATTGAAAATATAATTCACGAGTTGACAAAAAATAATAATATATTGACTATATATAGCACTAGTTAGGTAATACTATACATAATCTGTATGTTGACTGTTAACACTGGTTTACACTTACCAAGTTTTTTTTTATTGGTAGGTTTGTTGCTTTCCTTCTTGAAAGACTCAGTACACAATGGAGAATTTGGCAACAGAGAGCAACTAATGATAAAAAAAAAAATCAACAAAACTATATTACATACAATTTTCATACAGCCAAAAATATTTTACTGTATTTATTCTATCAGATATAGAGGCAGAGAAATATCAATCATCTCTTCAAAAAGTGCAAATTTAAAGGATGAACAGTTGACTAAGTCCTCCCCAAATGTGTGGACTTACAAGACCACACATACAGATAAACAGATAAACTTGGCCTAGGATTAGGACGCTCAAATCATTAAGAATTTAAATTAGTGATATTAACGAATAGTTGACTACTCACTCCCCCTCCCCCACACTGCTTCTATGAGAGACAGCAAACGTTTTTGAATCTATATATTTCATATTTTGGAGTGTAAGTCCATAGCCCTATACACAGAGAAAAACAAGTTACTCATCCTGTGGAGTAACTGCTAGAGTTCTTCCAGGCATCTCCCCCAAACACAGATGCCCCATTTGAAGAATGTTCAGAGCCCATGCACCTTTGAATTGATCCTTTTGATAGCACCACCTGTTCAGTCCACACTTGTAAGAGACAACGTCTCATCTCTCAATTCTTTACAAGCATGCTATGAAAACTGAGCAAATGGGGCACTTATGAGGCATATACGATTTTTTCAAGCAGCAGATGCACTGGAAACACCTGCCACTGAGCAGGATAACTTTCTAGCAACAGAGGTGCTGTTTGAAGCTTACAGTGGCTAGCATACGCCATAACAGTGCTCTGAGGTTTCAAAATACTAGCTAGTTATCCCACTAAGTTTTGAGGGAGGTAGAAAGGGTAATTAATTTGTAGTTTTGAATTGAAAGGCACATTAATACTCTTGTCTCAGGATGAGGCAGCTGAGAAAGAACTCATGGTGGTTTGAATGCACCGACCTATATAAGCTCAGTGTGGGGCAGCAGAATGTGTAGGGCCTCATACATAGACCAAATGGACACTACTATCAAAAATCTCTAATCACAGGTGCATGGAGTATAAAACACATCTGAAGTGGAGTGCTTATAGGACACTCCTAGAACCAATACCAAATATTTGAAATTATCCCATACCTTGCAAAAACGGAAAGTCTTTTCTCCTTTCCATATAAAAGAAAATCATTCTGCTGACATCTCATCAAAGCAGCAAGATTAATCTCCAGCAAAGCAATCATATTTTCAAACATCGAGGTAAGCAAGCAAAAGACCTGCAGTGACAAGACCATGTTATTCCTCTCACTTCAAAATTAAGCCACAATTCTAAATACAGGCAGTCCCCGACTTACGTGGATCCGACTTACGTCGGATCCCTACATACGAACGGGAATTTTCTCACCCCGGAGGACGCGGGCGGTGGGACCGCCCAGACGCACGGTGGTCCCGCCGCCCACGCCCTCCGCGGCGAGAAAAGCTGCTCCACATCTCCCTGGTCTGCTGGGGAGGGAGGCGCAGCTAGTGCGCCCCCCCCCCCCCCCCAAGGACTTTTCCCACCATCCACTAGACCCGCCGCCCGCGTCCTCCGGGGAGAGAAAAACCACTCCGGGGAGAGAAAACCCCCCAGCAGCCCAGGGAGACGTGGAACAAAGCCGCGTCGAGAAAAGCCGCTCCGTGTCTCCCTGGTCTGCTGGAGGGACGCCTGGGGCAGAGCAGCCGGGGGGCGGCCCGGGTGGGCCCGTAGCCCCGAGGAGCGGCGCTGCGGGACCAACCCGGCAG